GCCCAGATAACATCATGACGAATCTGCCTAGGTTTGATGTGGTTGTCACAGAGAAACAAATGAACATTGAGCTGGTCCAAATAAATTGTACCTACTAGTGTTTGACTACCCAGACAGACTACTCCATTGAACTAAATGGAAGGGCCTGCCCCTCGCCATATCTATCCGTGTGCATAACAGTCCCTCGCAAGGCAATTCTGACCTTTGACAGGACGCGGCTCTACCGCACTTCGGCAATGACAGGTAACTTAACATGGGATCCTGAGTGGCATGAAGGAAGTAAGTACCTAGAGGAGAGTCTGCTGGCCCTGCAGGCAGAGATCAAGGAGTTGGTGGCTGACGCCCAAAGGCATATCAGGATTGGCCATCTGAGGGTACGTCTAGACTATATGCCTCTGGCGAGACGCATGTAGATTAGACTGCCCGGCATAGGAAAATGAAGCGGCGATGTAAATTTAAATGAAGCGGCGATTATTTAAATGGCTGCCACGCTGAGCCGATCAGCTGTTTGTCAGCTCAGCGCGGTAGTCTGGACATTCCGCGGTCGACATCAAAGGCATTTGTCGACCTCCCAGGTATGAGACAAATGCCTCATACCTGGGAGGTCGACAAATGCCTTTGATGTCGACCGCGGAATGTCCAGACTACCGCGCTGAGCTGACAAACAGCTGATCGGCTCAGCACGGCAGCCATGTAAATTTAAATGAAGCGGCGTTTATTTAAATGGCTGCCACGCTGAGCCGATCAGCTGTTTGACGGCTCAGCATGGTAGTCTGGACGTTCCGCGGTCGACATCAAAGGCAGTTGTCGACCTCCCAGGTATGAGGCATTTGTCTCATACCTGGGAGGTCGACAACTGCCTTTGATGTCGACCGCGGAATGTCCAGACTACCGCGCTGAGCTGACAAACAGCTGATCGGCTCAGCGTGGCAGCCATTTAAATAAACGCCGCTTCATTTAAATTTACATCGCCGCTTCATTTTCCTATGCCGGGCAGTCTAATCTACATGCGTCTCGCCAGAGGCATATAGTCTAGACGTACCCTGAGGTACAAAAAGATAGGGAACACTGTAGACCATGTGGTCTCTGAGGCACTCAACCTGGCAGTAGAGGTCAAATCTATAATCATGGGCAGCGTCAGTAAGGCGAAGAAATATCTTGGAGATGGATTTGAATAGTGTTTGCCAAATTATGTGGGGAGTTTTGATTTTAACATTTATAATACTGTTGGTGCAGTACTAGCACTTTCAAAGTAAATTAAAAACCCTGAAACAATTGTATTTAACCTGGTGGATTAAAGAGAAGCCTAAAATCAAGAGAAAGGAACTATAGGAGTAAACTGAGGCAGTCCATGGTATCTTGCTAAGAATTTTCAACTCAAATCCTAAATTTGAGGTCGAAGAATACACAGATTCCTTCACACAGACAAAACAGACAATTTGACCCTAGTCGTCCTGGCAAACACATTCCAAAAGGGCCTCACTTTGATAAGGCTGGTACCAAACACCCACGCGGGATTGTTTTTACTGTCTGTTTTACTCCTAGAAAATAAGCTTGGATCCAAAGGAGGCAGCTGGCTTTTAGCTCATAGAATAGAGACTCTTATGTCCATCAGCGAAAGACTGCTGTAGCCTTACACTGGAAAGATCCTTACCAAGTTTTGCTAACTACCTGTCTGGACTCATGCTTCTCACTGCAAAAAAGACCCCTCCATCTCGAAATGATCCTACCCAGGCTGCTGATAAGCCTCTCTCTCCTACTGGTACTGCTTTTCCTCTTGCAGGACAATAAGAGACAAGTACAAGGTGAAGTGCTAGTAACCTCTCCCTTGTCCACCGACAGCATTACCATACATTCAGTAACTGCCAGAAGAACCAAAATATTACAGGGTGACATGCTGGTAAAGTACAAGGTGAAGTGCTAGTAACCTCTCCCTTATCCACCAACAGCATTACCATACATTCAGTATCTGCCAGAAGAACCAAAATATTACAGGGTGACATGCTGGTAACCTCTCCCCTGGATAATGCTGAACCACAACTTTCAGGAAAGAAGAAATGTCTGCTCCACTGACAGCCAAAACCCAGAGATTTCTGACCACAAAAGGACATTAAGAACTGACCTTGGTGAAAGAAGTGAAGTATTGTATATTGCCAAGGAGAAACTTGTGGGAGTGGTTTGAGTTTCTCCCTTTGATCTGGACTCTGTGCTTACGGACGGGCACCATCAGCATGTACTGCCCTCCCTAACTGGTTTTTAGATGCAATTAATCCTTAAGTTCCAAATACCCTTTAATTGGATTACCTTAGTACCTGATCAATTACAAAATCTGCTTTCACTCTTACCAGAGGTCCAGAAAATCTCTGAATTACAAGGTTAAATTCATGTACCCCAAAAATATTTATCAGCTTGGGAAGCATGCTTTCTATTTAATCCATAGCACATTCTTTTGTGTACTAATTATGATATGTTGTGTTATGTTACTAAAATTATAGAACAACCCCATCATAGAATTACAGTGGGGATATTAATGATTATATTGCTTTTGCTTATTTTAGAAATATTTTATTGAAAGATGTAATAGAAAAAGATGTAATAGAAATAGCTTTTATGTATTGCCTAAATATGTATTGCCATTAAAATTTGGAAATAAAAATGCAATGCCTAATGGAAATAGAGGTTTAGAAAGTTAGTTGTGCTAATAGCACAAAAGGGAGGAGTGAGGAAGCAGGAAAAAGGGAATAAGGGAATGTGTGCGCGGCCATCTTAGTCTTGTTAACAGGAGAGCAAGAGAAAGACTAATTCTGACTCCTGACAATGTGAGAGCTGTTATAAGATGCTGCCTTCACCTCCATACGAAGATAAGGATAGAATGCTGACTCTGGCAGGGACCTTGAGATAAGGAGCATCTGGGTGGAACTAAAATAACTGTTAGCCATTGGTGTTTGTAATGGGAAGGAGGCTAATTGTTATTATATTTAATGGACAGTATATAAAATGCTTCATAATTGCTTGTATATGAAGATCTGCCTCGGGGGGCTCCCCCCCCGTCCGAATCAGTTTTTGCTGCAGCTCGTAATAAAACTGGCTCTGGCTACTTGTTGCTTACAAACGCAGAGTGAGGACAATGTTTTCTTCCACAACTGTAAGAGCAGCTGAGCCCCAACTCAAAGGAGCCCAATCCAATCACAGGCACAGCATACTTTCCTTTCTGCTTCCTTGCAAGTCTCCAAGGAGAAACAAAGGAAGCTCCCCAGTACTCATAGAACACTTAGCCGCTGTTTGAGTGCTGTATGATGTAGGAAAGAAGCTGCTTTATGCAAAAGAGTTCAATATTCCAGCTGAAACTTCCTGTTCAATCTACTACTTCTCCAGTTTGCCACACACAGACAAAGCAGAGCCAAAATCATTTTGAGTTCTGCTATTCCCATCCTTCATTCATTTCTGGTGAGAATGAGACCCCATCCCTTCCTGTGGACTTGTCATTGGAGCTTGGGTTTCACAGGACAGAGGGAAGAAGAGCTATAATCATGTCATTATACATGAGTTTATCTTGGCAAATGGTACCCAATTCACAGTGTGAAATTAGAGATTGGCCCCTCCCCTGGAATTCTGATCCAATTGGGAGCTACCTTAGAATGCAGGGAGGTCTTCATAGCTAATTCAGGCTCTTGTCTCCACACAGACATTAACTATAGCTACTAAGAAGACATCCACCAACATAAGACCATGACAAGATACCACAAAAATGAAATTGTATAAGCTGCGGTGACATCAGACTAAGAAGACATCCACCAACATAAGACCATGACAAGATACCATAAAAATGAAATTGTATAAGCTGCGGTAACAAATTTTGTTTTTACATAAAAGGACCCATTCTTTTATCAACTTTATAACTGTGAAAATTAAAAATACAAGACCCATGACTGGTACTAGGACAGTTTCTTCAGTCAGTTTAAATGAGATGCTCCAAGAAGGGCATTGGGGGTATAAATTCATTAGGAGTTAACGTTAGATGAGCTTTTTTTTTTCCCCTTAACTGTGGCAACTTTAAATGGCAGGAGAGTTAACGTTAGATGAGCTTTTTTTTTCCCCCCCTTAACTGTGGCAAGTTTAAATGGCAGGCGATGAGGGGCAAGGCCTGAGCTGGAGAGGAGATACATGAACATTGAAGAAGAAGCATAGTCAACAAGCTGTAACAAAGGACTGGAAAATGTAAACCATTCTCACACAACCCTCTGTTTGTTCTGGAAGGGTAAGGTGCACTGAAAATCATAGTACAACAGGCATATCCACTTTCTGTTTTCCTTTTGTGACTTAGCCATGGCTTGCTTTCAGTTACTGCAGTTAGCTTTGCTTCCCCCACCCTTCTACATGTTTTTAGTTACTGTTTTAACTTGTGCACAAAGACTTAGAAACAGGACAGGAATGTTGATTAATTCCCTCTTCCACATCTATATTTTCATGGGGAACATCTACCACACAAGAGTTAATTTGAAGTTTCAGCTGATGTAGGCCAGTGACTCAGTTAATTGTTTGTTCCATCCAGTCAGCCCTTAAAAAAATCTGAATTGACCTTTCACTCTTTTCAGGGAAAAGAATATTTTAAAAGTCAGTAAGTCTCAGCTACATTCAAATAAACTCTCTTACTTTGCAGACTACTCCATCCCTGCATTGCAAATGTTCTTGTTACTATTTGATGTGTGGATACGATCCAGAAGTATAGAGAACAGTATCTTTGAAAAAAGGTCAATATGTCATCACAGATTACAGAAAAAAAATCTGCCAAATATAAGCGCCACATTTCCTACGTTAGGCACTCCCTAGAACAGATCTACCTTTTTCTGAATGCTTGATAATATTAGAATCTTCAGACATACAGAAACAAAACAGGAATCCATTCAGTGACTAGTAGTTTCCCTAGTGTTCATTCGCCTAAACAAAAGGGCAAGATTTACATCATGCTTATAAAAAATAGTTTATTAGGAAATATCCGTAGCTACCAAGAATAGACTATGATTCAGAAGGCTGCTTTACGTACCCTAGCATATAAAATTCCATTGCTTAGTCCCAGTCAGATAGATGTTTTCCATTTTCAAAAGTTACTAAGGTCAAGTCTATGAGTCGCATAACAAAATGTAAAGGCTCCAGTTCAATGCTTACAAACATAGGAAATGGGTGGCAGATGCTCCATTAACCTACTTCGCTTAAATAGTTAAATGTCAGATGTTAAAGAAGGCAGAATTAAATTTTTATCATCTCCTGTCTTCCTTTTTCCTTCATAGAGCTGTTTTAGCTCCATCTAGCTGGCTATTAGACATTTGAATGACACTTTTGGACAAAGGAACGTAATGTGTTAGGCCCAGAAAATGCTAATGATGTATTCGTGTCCTATTATATAATTATTTCAGTATTAAAAGAGACCACACTGACAATGTTGCTATCATTTCTTAATAGCTGAAATACAATTTGGACGTTGTAGGTCATGTTTTGAAACCTCATTAATGTTTGCAAAACTGCTTATTTGAGAAAACTCCATAGCATTCTTGAGTCTAATAGATCCATATTCAACATTCTGTGTTTCTAGACGGTGTTTTTCACTCAGAGAGTCTGCCTCCTTTGTCTCAGAGATCTTCTCCTCCTCCTCCTCCTCATCATCATTTTCCTGGAACAAAGACAATAAAAAAATTCATTGGACTAAACCAAACCTATCTGGTATCTTCTATAAGGACTCGGAGACGCTGATAGTGATAGCAATGTGAGTTCTCTGTTACCTTGGGCAAAGTAACTCGATTAAGTAAGGTTAGGTTATTGTCTGACTGGCTGTAACCATTATACACAGAAGCAACAGGAACCCTGTCAAAGGCCAGAACTATAGCCTGAAACTTGTTTTAAGTTTCTGGAGTAGTGTTGTGTTCTGGAATTTAAAATGCTACAAAGCATAAAATATTTAAAATATATTATGAAAAGCAATTGTGTAAAATCACCACCATCTTACTCAGCAGCTCTCAGGGTTATTCAGAAAGAGATCTATTTGTTTTCATGGAAACCCCTCCCCCCCTAACTTTTACTATTTTTTTTAGGTGTGCCAGTTTTGCAGAATGTGCAGCTGTGGGAATGCAAGTTGGATTTTTTTTTTGGGAGGGGCATCCTTATGAATCAGAATTAGTGTTCCAGTTGCAAAGCCTCCTCTACTCTACTGTCCTCAAATTATGCTCTCAGTTTCCCTTATCAATCCCACTAATGAGAACTAAATTAAATACATATGCAGAGATGTACCAGAAAGCTTAAATTTGAGGATAAATGGGGTTGCACAGATGGAAAGCAGAGTGTTTGGCTAGTGAAGAGCCAGAAAGAACCAACTTGATTGGAAGATTACAGGTGGAATTTGCAGATCTAGAGATGAGATTTTTATATTTTTTAAACATCTGTAAAAGACATATTAAATACAGAAATAATTGATCTACAAACTGAAAACACAAAATGCCATTTTTACATAAAGTAGGTCTGTAAGCTATAGGAATAGGTATTCGCCAGTAAGGCATGGGCGTAAGTTAAGGTGGTAACCCAATGAGCTTATGGGCCTCAAGGCCTGTAAGACAATAGCTTACCTAAGCAAGAAATAAGGTCCCAAGGCCTTATATAGTTAACCAGGAGTAATCCTAGACCACAAGAGAATGCTGTAATGACTAAACTGCTAACCACAAGATTCTAGCTCATACTGACTTGGGATATTTTAAATTAGAAACATTCCTAATGTCTGATCATCAGAGTGCCATGGTAATTGATATAGTATACCATTCAATAGTATAGTGCAGTGTTTCCCAAATGGTGTTCCGTGGAACCCCAGGGTTCCACAAAGTGAAAATAAGGGTTCCGTGAGAAAACTCCATTACAAAAACATTTTATGATTAAAAAATAGTAATTAATATTTATTAATGTTATTTTTGTTTTTAAATACATGCCATTAAACTAAATGTTGATCTCATGATCTTGTTTAGCATGTGTTTATTATGATCCTTACTTATTTGTGGTCTACTTTTTCAGCTCCGTAGATAAGACTGTTATTAGGGGTTCCGCAAAATTCTTTCAAATTTAAAAGGGTTCCATGACCAAATAAAATTGGAAAACACTGGTATAGTGTATAGTAAACTGGAAGTTAAAGGCCTACTATCCTGTGGAACAAGAGCAGTTCAACATCAGTAGGGTGAGGAAATACAAGTAAGGAAAAGGAAAGAAATCCTGACTGAATACATGTTAGGCATAGTGGGGTCAACGTAACAAATCATAAAAGCTGTGTGTCAGCCTGTGTGGTGAGGTGGGGAGAGATGTATCTCTTAGGTAGTGCCAGGATGATGGCCACTGGCGATGGTGATGAGGAAGGAGATGATGGCGAGGCAGATGACTAATATTTCATGTTGTTCTGCAAGGGATGGTGTGAGTATATGGAAGTTAAGATGCACATTCTGTATCTCTCTCACTAGGTTGGAATGTTTGTGACTTTGCTAACTGTATTATAGAAAACTGTCATGAATACAGAAGGTTTTTCATAAGTGTAAGTGTTGTAACCGTGTACATCACAGTTCACAACTGAAGAGCAAATCTTATACTACTGGCCTTGATCTCGGGACAAGGATCTATCAAACCTTGGGATACTAATGGGGAATTCTTGAGTCATCAAATTAATACACAATCCATAGATCAGTTGAGGGGACCATCTTTTAAAAGAGCAAATCTGATCCCAAAGAGGTATTTTAGATTTTGGGGATTGAGAGAACTGTGGTGGGCTTAGAATAAAAAAAAAATTGTGACTGTTCTTGTCACTAAAAGGACCAAACTTCAAATTCTTTATAAGGAAATTTCTGAAATTTGGGATGGATTCAAAATCCAGACCCAGATCAGAATTTTGTCATTTGAAGGCTCCGTTTGCAAGCAGCCTTCAACAATGTAACATTGACTGACAATAGTGTGGTGTCATTATATATTCACTTCCACCATAATTCAAAAGGCTGTTTTTTGTACAACTTTGTTACTAGAACTCAGATTCCTGTGTCTCTAGCTAAATATAAAATTCTCTATCTGTATGCTCGTTTGGGCACAGCAGTTTCCTCAAGAAATAGATATGCCTTTGATCAACTTAACCTACAACAAAACCACCATTTATCATGGTGATCAGTAACCAGTTTCTCAACATAACAGGGCAGGGCAGATCATTTTGTTCCAAGTTTTAGAAGGAATGAGTAAGAGGACAATTGGAATTATATTACATTATTCAGTTGGAACAGTTTTCTGCACCACAAGCCAGCAAAGCTAAGAGAGACATTTCAGTGGAGTAGACCTCTAGTGCCTTGCAAACAGTTAAAGACAGAAAAAATACTAAAAATATAAAGTTTTAAAGATGTTGTATTGTTCATACCCCAAGGTTTCTTCATGGTTATGCTGACTCCTCGTGGAGTTTTCATTTATTTCTCAATTCTAGGACCATCATTCAAACTTCTTCTTCTGTATTGCCAATATACCACCTTGACATTCCAGACAGGTGGGGCAAATATTTTTCTCCAACACCCATCCCAACAGTGGTCTCTAAATCTGCTAACATGGAGCGATGTTGGAATGAATGATCAAACTTTCCTGATATCAGGAAACATACTCAGGTTGTCTTTCCAATGCAGCTCAACCTCATCAACTTCGGGAGTAAAACTCCAAAAGTCACATTGGGAGAGAACTAATCCACAATATATTTAAAATCAAAATCCTGCAGTCTGTTAGTCTAATGACAATCACTTCAGTGTATATAGTGCAGTCTGATGCCAACACATCTCAAAGCTTTTCACAGGACTTATGCAGAGCTAGTGACCTTAGTGAAGCTTCCAGGATGTGATCCACTCAGATTTTAAGTTAAGTTTTATTTATTTATATTTTTTATATGTGTGTGTGTGTGTGTCTATATATATATATATATATATATAGACACACACACACACACACACACAGACACAGACACACAGACACACACACGCGCATGCACATACACACAGAGATTTGTTTAGATTATAAATTCTTTGGGAGTAAAATTCTTTGCTTTGGGTCTTCTTTGGAAAGACTATTGGTTCTTAATAATAAAACATGATAAAAATTAAGTGCCATATTTTTTTTCTCCTCTTGTATTTAATTTACCTTGGTCTGTGTCCTGTAGTATTCATCTATTGCATATTGATATTTGGGTTCATTGAGTCCCAAGAAAGTGGCAAGCTTCCCACCAAGGAATTCGCAAGCTGAAAAGACAGAGAAAATTAAAAATAACAGCAATTCTATCCCTTACATAATTAAGGAACTTGTATAGTGAGACACATTATGTGATAGGAGAAAACAGTTTTACATGCTGATGTCTGTATGAACAAAAGGACAAAGGGGAGATATAATACAAGAACTGCCTTCATCAGCTCTGGAAATAGAAGTCAACTTTTGGTAAGTCTAATCCTCACTCCAGAAAACTACTTAATGGCTACCCATTTCAATCCTTTTCCAATGAGCTGGCCAGCATGACTGGAAATGAGGTATGTCACTTACACCAGCTGCAGTTTTAGGCAGTTTATTCCATACTATGTTTCAACTATACTCTGTGTAAACAAATTCATCCTGGGTTGTTTTACATGCCAATTCACTCTCAAAGAGTAACTAGGTCATAGGCCTACTAGTCTCCTTTCCTTTCAGGATCTTCTTTCAGCTTAGGAAAGGCTCCCTTACTTTGTATCAGGGAGAAGTGATGGACTTGGTATCTCTTCTGTTGATTTTTGAAGGGGGAAAGAAAATCATTGTGACTACTTTCAGATGCTACTTTTTCAGATTTTACACTGATTTGCCTGCAGTAGAATGATCAAAACTGCATGCAATAATCTGTTAGCAGAGCTAGATTGTCCTAATCCATCTTCCTGCAGTACTATGCTTGTTAACCTGTCTTCAATTTGTCCCATTTTCTTTTCCTTGTGGCCTCAGTTTCTTGTCCCTCTTCTAATTTCTAATCTGCTTCAGTAGTTCTACTCTTATTAGTGCCCTGATTTTCAATTAGTTATATCAGTCTGATCAGAAACACTATTCAGTTTTTTTCAAAAGTTGAGGTAGATTTTGTTCATGAATAATTTTACCCCTGCCTACAAATTAATGCCATTTATGATAGGTGGCACAGATAGTGATGATTATAGTAAGGTTTCCTGACACTAACGATCCTGTTATCAGTTGCTTATAACTTTGCTAGATTTAAGCCTCCATGGCTGAATTTTTCCATGTGTGGTGTCTCTCCCAAATTAAAATTTTTGCAGAAGTTTCAACTAAAATTCTTGTTATTTCCATGAATGAGGTAGAGAAAAATACATGTAGCCCACATTAAAAAAAATCATTACATCAAGAAGCTCTAGCATCTTCATGATTTAGAGCAGAGACTAGAAATTTGGCAGGGTTTTGCTCTGGTGTCAGAGATGTACTTTTTGCCATTCCTATGAAAATGCACTGAGATTTGGTCAAGTTGTAAACCAGTGTTTCTTAAACTTTTTGAGACCACAGAACACCAAACAATTTTTTTTTTTAATGCAGAACACCTATGGTTGCCAGATGGTGTCTTAAAAAAAAAAAAAAAAAAAAGCACTCAGGAAAATTTTTTGAGGGAGACCTCGGGAGGTCGGGCCAAAATGCAGTCACAGCCTCTTTAATTGCCGCATGTCCCAAGCAGGCTTCCGTCAGCTGCCAAGCAGAAAAATGTCCTTAAATGGAAAAAACCCTAGGACTGTCCCAAGCAGGCTTCCGTCAGCTGCCAAAAAAAGCAGAAAAACGTCCTTAAATGGAAAAAACCCTAGGAACACCTATGACAATTTTCTTCAAAAAAAAAAAAAAAAATGGTCACAAAAGAAAAACCACAAAGAAGTAACAAAAACAAAGAAGAGGTTGCGACACACCTCAGAGTTGTTCAAAGAACACCAGTGTTCCGCGGAACATTGTTTAAGAAACACTGTTGTAAGCCATAGTGTAAGGAGGAAGAATGGCCATACTGAGTCAGACTCATGGTTGAAATACATCTTCCAACAGTGGCTTCAAAGGGAATGAATAGAACAAGGCATTCATCAAGTGAGCCGTCCATCCAGTCTTACCATCCAACAGTCAAAGGCCTAGGGACTCCCGGAGCATGGTGCTGTATCTTTGGTCATCTTGACTAAAACTCATGGATGAATTAAACTATTTTCCATTAACCTATTTTCTTTTTAATCCAGTTATAGTTTTGGTCTTCACAACATCCCTTAAAAATTCTCTTAGCATGTGCTCACTATAGATTTGTTAAAAGCTGGAAGCCAAGTGCTCAGATTTCATCTGCGCTGAGATGCACCATCCTCAGTATTGTGTCCAGTTCTGGGCACCGCATTTCAAGAAAGATCTGAAGAAATTGGAGAGGGTCCAAAGAAGAGCAACAAGAATGATTAAAGGTCTAGAGAACATGACCTATGAAGGAAGGCTGAAAGAATTGGGTTCCTAACTGTCAGGGTGGTTAAACACTGGACTAAATTGCCCAGGGAGGTTGTGGAATCCCCATTTCTGGAGATATTTAAGAGTAGGTTAGATAAATGTCCATCAGGGATGGTCTAGACAGTATTTGGTCCTGCCATGGGGGCAGGCGACTAGACTCGATGACCTCTTGAGGTCCCTTCCAGTCCTAGTATTCTATGATTCTATGATCCTTCACAGCTCCTGTGTGCTGACTGGATTGTGCATGCACCATCTCCAGATTGCTGTGCACATGACGTCCCTAGCTGAGTAGTTCTTTCCCTTCAACTGTTTTGCCCAGCTCCTAGGACCTACTGTAACAGAGCAGGGAGACTGCATCTCCTGTACCCTCAATGCTCCCCTTGCTGGTATCCAGAAAACACAGAGGAGGAGGAGGAAACATCCTGACTTGAGAGGTGTGAGCAGGAGAAACAGGGAAAAGAAATGTGGGGCAAGGCAACTGGAGCAGAGACTGTGAAGTATAGGAACAGAAAGGGAAAAACTACTGTTTAGAAACCACTAAAGCACACTTTCCTCCAGACCCGGAAACTGAACCCATTATTCCCAGGTCTCAGTATTCCTTTGCTGTGTAGCAGATAGCAGTAAAACCCATGGGCCAAAGTTTGTTTTTAATTTCTTCTTTTATGTTGACCTGCCACTAGAAAGGGCTAACAGCATTCTGCTGCCCCTGGTTACTCTCTTAAATTAAGTGGCGGAGGACTGTGCTGTGGATCTACATATCCAAACTCATATGATAACCTGTGTGTGTGGGAGTGTGTGTGCAGTGAATGAAGCAGGGACTGCAGGAACAGAAAGGCTGGTCTCATGATTAAAGTAGCTGAATGCTACCCTGGAGCAAAGGATTTTATCTGGGCCTCCATTGCAAAGTTCCTGTGTCTCATCAGATGACGAGTTCCAGGTTGACACACGGGATTTGAACTGTAGAAATGCTGAGCTCACAGCTGCAACAGAAGTTAATGGGAACTTTGCTTTGATCATTACATGCCCTAATATGCTATGTACTCACAAAAAACCCTCTATGCAGCTCAAATAGGGCAACCAAATCAGTTGACACACTTGACAATTTTGGATCTAATTTACGTGCATCAATTCCCAATGTGTAAAAGGGAGAGAATATCCCTGTACCATAGAATGGTATTTTCAAAATAATTCCATTGTGTTTGTGGAGCTCTCTGGTACTATGATGGCAACATCACAGAGATGCTCAAGAGAAAAGTAATAATTCTAGGGTTTTATGGTGTGCTTAAAGATCACATGGGACCACACACTGAATGAGGATAAAATACGATACTGAATAGCTAACCATTCCGTGAGCACCATCCCTCATGCGTACTGAATGAGGCAAGAGTCTTCAGGGAAAAAGTAATGTCTGATTATGTAATTGAGAAGATTATATCATAATGCATATGTACAAGGGGACTAACGTAAAATTGCATAGACACTAATTTCTAGCTTTTGAGTACTTGACCTTGAAACTTAATGTTCTTTTAAGGCAGTTAAATATTATCTTAATAGTATTTATATTCAACCCATCTAAAATAAACCTCCCATTGACACCAAAAAATATACCTACTAAAAAGTGAAGTTGTTGCAATTCGAACGGCCCACAGCCGCAGATATAGCCCCCATGAGAGCTTGGACTACAAAAGAAGAGCAAAAGGAAAACTTGAATGTTAGACATACAGAGCTAAACTCATCCAGGGGTTAAACCAGAGGTGAATTTGATGCAGAATATTTGGAGAATGCAAAGAATCTCCCATTACATAGGGGAGAAAGCTAATTGTTTTCTTCAGTCTTCACACAGGGTGCTGCTCAAACTATCAAGTCGCAGCTGACCTACAGCAAATTTCTGTGTATTTACACTAGGGATGTCAGTCTCATATACCGAGCCAACAAGAATCATCAGTACAATGAACATAAGCAACATATATCCATTAGGACACAAAGGATCCAATCCTGCAAAATACATAAAGCTCTAAGGAACTTTGAGCACAACGGGACTTTATGTGAATAAAGTTGTTCACAGATCTAAGTATTTACACAATCAAGCCAAAATACTAAATATATGGATTTGACAGACAGACAATTGCGTATTTTACACAATCAAGCCAAAATACTAAATATATGGATTTGATAGACATAGACAATTGCGTAAATGTCAGTATTTAGTGTAATATCAGAAATGTTTATAAATATTACTTATTTTCACTGAATCCTTGCAAGGTCAGTTGGGCTTCTATAAACGAGGATGAATTAAGACAAAGTTTAACCAACGCCTGGTCTACATTCAAAAATTAGGTCAGCATAACTACATTGGTCTGAGGTGTGAAAAATCCACACCCCTGAACAATGTAGTTCAACTGACATAACCCCTGGAGTCAGTTCCCTACTACACTAATGTAATTCCACCTCCACAAGAAATGCATGGCTTATGTTGGTGTAGTTAAAGCAATGCAATGTCTACGTAAACTGTTACTTACATCGCTTGTTGGCTGTCATCAACTTCATGCATAGGCATGGGAAGTAAGGGTGCAGGGAGGGCTGCAGCTGGCCCAGGTTTGGGGCATCCTGGACCCACACTCCTGCCACCTGGGATACTGGCCACCAGCACCACCACACATAAGAACATAAGAACGGCCGTACTGGGTCAGACCAAAGGTCCATCTAGCCCAGTAGCCTGCCTACTGACAGTGGCCAGCACCAGGTGCCCCAGAAATGGTGGACCAAAGACAATGATCAAGCAATTTGTCTCCTGCCATCCCTCTCCAGCCTCTGACAAACAGAGGCCAAGGACACCATTTTATCCCCTGGCTAATAGCCTTTTATGGACCTAACCTCCATGAAATTATCTAGCTTCTCTTTAAACTCTATTATAGTCCTAGCCTTCACAGCCTCCTCTGGTGCGCTGTGTGAAGATGAACTTTCTTTTATTAGTTTTAAACCTGCTACCCATTAATTTCATTTGGTGTCCTCTAGTTCTTCTATTATGGAAACTAATAAATAACTTTTCTTTATCGGCCCTCTCCACACCACTCATGATTTTATATACCTCTATCATATCCCCCCTCAGTCTCCTCTTTTTTAAACTGAAAAGTCCCAGTCGCTTTAACCTCTCCTCATATGGGACCCGTTCCAAACCCCTAATCATTTTAGTTGCCCTTTTCTGAACCCTTTCCAAGGCCAAAATATCACACCTACCACCCAGGCCCTCTGCTGCCCAGGAGCTCCACTTCAGGCCCTAGGTCGTGCATGGATGCCAGCCCCATGCCCAGCTCAGCCCCAGGGTCCTGCCCAGCTGCCAGCCCCAGCTCTAGGGGGTAAACAGGAGTGTAGGCAGGGATTGAAAGGGGTGCAGCTCAGCTCCTTCACTCCAAAAATTGTTCCAGTTCCACTAACTTCATGATTCTTTGCTGGAGAAGTGAAACTGACAGGAAAGTCCTTCCTGCTTCCAAATAGGCTGCTGTCCCAACTCCCCACTTTCAGCTGGGCTGCTTCCCAGGATCCCCGCTCTAAGCTGGGCTACTGCTAGGGCAAGAGCTGAGAGCCTGAGTGGTTGCTCCCATACTGGGAGGAAAGGAGGGAGGGAAGCGGTGGAGGTGAGAGGGAGCAGGCAAACAACCGGGGGGGAAGGGGGGCGCGCAGGAAGGGAGCCCATGGACCAGCCAGGCTTCCCGTGGGGAGATGTGAGCACAGCCAAGAGCCTTGGCTTTCAGCTCCCACATTGCTCAGCCTGGTCATGGAAAGTGCTTCTGGTGAGTGTGTGTACCTCCCAACTAAGGAGGATACTGTGGACATGAACTAGAGCAGGCTGTAAGCTGACCTAATATAAGCTGACTGAAGAGTTTCAGTGTAGACATGCCCTAAGGCCTCTTCTTCTGAAGCAGTGTTCAGAAAAGCATTTCCTGTGCTTGAATTTCCCATCTGTATTTAATCTATCTTAACTTTCCCCAGATTCTCCAGTGTAGACTAGGTCTCAGTCTTGTTCTCATTTTAGAGATGAGGAAACACACCTATAACATCAAATAATGGGCAAGAAAGAACCAGGGGACATATGCCTTCATGTTTTTGCTTAGGGATGAGAATTCCTTTGGGTAGGTTTTGTCTTATCTCCTTGATGCTTCTGTTCACCACAAGATGCAACTAGCCCTAAGTAGAATTATAGTGTAAGAGCCATTTTTTCATCCTATTTTGATCTGCTTAACCACTACTCTACCTCAGGGGTCAGTCTCATGAACATCAGGAATAAAGCCCATTAGCAGAACCTGAAGAAGCTTGTATGGTTTCCAAATCTGTTCTGTGACTGAGAAGTCACAGCATTTACAGAAAAGAAGAGGTATGTGAGCATCTACAGAGCGGGCTACTGTGACTGTGAAGGGTGCAGTGTTCTCTAACATGCACTCCTCCCCCTTCCATTCTCCGCGAGTTGCCTAAAAGTCAATAAAGGGACTTACTGTGTCAAGTGGCTGCTGTGCCGCCTTCTCCTCCTGCTCGTCTTCCTCTTCCGTACTATATTCTTCCATGGTTTCACCATTTGCAAAGTAAATAATCCTCCTTGGAGACTTTGTTTTTCCCATGCCTTTATCTTCCATCACATCATGCTGGAAACCATCCTCCTCCTGCTCATGAGAAAGCCCTCCCCAGGAGTGCCCTCTTAGAACACTAATGGATGATGGACTATATAGTATTCAGCCTCACCTCTAACTCTTAGGCTAAGGAAGGTCAGAACTGGGTTTGAGAATCTTATTTGAATCCTCAAAAAGTTATAAATATCCCTACATATTTCAGTTTTGAGAAGAAGAAAGTCCCAGGATTGACATAGCCAGAGCTACAGAAACTTGGCCTGCATTAGGATGGCATTTTCAACTCTTATAAGAGCAGGTACCATTGCTGGTGTCACACACAGCTGTTCCATTGGTCTTCAGGTGTCTGTACATGTTTTCTGTCACTGACTCAGAGTGTACTACTACAATCGAATATGAAAACCACTTCAAAACAAGTAAGGTGTCAGAAGGGCCAAATCATGCAACACGAAGACATGCATGATACTCAGCACCTTGCAAGAAATCACAGCCTAAATGAACAATTTACAGCACGCTACTGGGTAACTGAACAACAAAGCAATATTACTTATATAGCACCAAAAAGAGCTTCACAATGATGGATGATAGGTTCCCCACCAGCACCAAAGAGCTTCCATATAAATGAACACAGATGCAATGGAGAATAATCATTACTTCCTTTTTCTATAATTTATATTTTTTTTCTTTTCTTTCCTCTTCTGCCGAAATTAGCAGCATTTTCCTATTAAATTACTTAACTTGGGCCTATATGGGTTTTGTCTGGGTAAGGACTATAGAAAAAATGGCAATGCGTACACCTTTTTCATTTATCCTTTCATAATTTCACATGTCTAACAACAGCTACATAAAATGTAATCTAGAGTTAAAGAGGCAAAGGGGTATCAAGTAACCTTTAACAGCAAAACGATTAAGCTAATAATTTCATAAACTACATAGTGCTCCTAGCCAAATGGTATATCATACTTTTGTTTTTAATTTCTTCAATTTTTTTCTCCAAATGTATAGGAGTCTTCAAAATAAACACTTTACTTGAACTCAGACAAGAAGAGTAATTATATATGCTACCTGCTACTATGTTCTCTCTCATTACCTGTAAACCAATTTAGAATCAGTAATAAGTAACAAGACAACAAGACCATTACTTCAATATTCCGATGACAAAATACATATTAGTTGACCGTGTTCTCCTTATGCTTGAAAGAAGATATTAAAATACTTGCTGAAATATATCAATGTGTGAAATCTGTAGCTAACAACACATCAAAAGCAAATTCACCTGTAGAATCTCTCTGGTGTCTTCCATCATCTGAAGAAGTTGTAGTGTACAAACTGATTAAGTTGTTTCCAAGACAAGTAAGGGAAAAAAACCTAGAACCATGACACTTAGTGATTCCGTATGTAATTTGTGCATAGAAAAAACACTGTAGCATTTGCAGCAGCCCAGTTCTGGAAGCAAGTCAAGAAAGGTATATTCAGAGTTCCAGGATACAACTATCTGAATGGGCTAGGCTTTGTTTGAATTGTGGGCAGGCCCTTTTTATTTGCATGATCAGCAAAGTTAAGATGGCTGGTTGGGGTAACCAAAGGAATGTGAGAAAGGACATATACGTTTGCAAATAGATACTCCTTCGGGGAAGCATGGAAAAACCTTCAATCTGGCTGTTTTTAAAAGCATAGCATATTTCTTGAAGACATTTTTCAGTATTCTGCTTCCCTTCATTTTTGCTTACTTTATGAAGTGAACTTAGACGTTAGTAAGGCTAAGTCACAGGTGTAGTATTTACTTTTCCTCAGCAAAGCCAAGGGACCAAACACACACATGCAAACACAAATATTTCCTGCAACTGGTATGACACCTACTGGCAGTTTGGAAAACTAGACCTATATATCAGCAACTGCTAAATAACTTTAGCAGAACTATCCCATCAAAGGAAATCTAATAGGTTGTTTCATCTGGCATCTTTGGTATTGGAACAACAGAACAAACTACATAGTGCTACAGATATGGGTGAAACTAGGGCCAACTACAACTAGTTAGGAAGTACAAATTCTGCTCACTGCTCTAGGTATGTACTGACATAATCTTGCCCAATAGAAATAGTGAAGTACCTCATCATCGTAAATTCTGTATCTTCTCAGTATATTAAGAATAAATCTGTAGGTTTTTCAATTTAGTGCAAATGCAGTAAAAATATTCAGTTTATTCAAAGGGAAATGCATTCCCTGCTACTGTAATTAAAATTTGAAAAGCAAAGCCAAAAGAGAGAGGCAAGTTGTAGATGGACAAAAAGAATAAAAATGATACGCTTGTGTTCTAGAATGTGCAGTCATATAGTTTTCAGACCAAATATGCGGTTGGTGTTTGTCTTTAATTTTTAATTATTTTCCTTACTTTACTCAATTTAGAGATCAACAAGTGAGAGTGTATCACCTCAAATATTAGGTCATAACCTCTGAAGATGATGCATAGGAAAGATCACAGTCCTGGACTTCTTAGATGCCCAGTGCAATCTGCAGACATCAAGAGCATGATTGGCACTGAGAGGGACTATGTGAAGTTAGGATATACCATAGAGGCTATTGTGAGCTACTTACACCAAAAAAGGGAAAATAGCATGAATAATGTCAAGATGAGTATGGAAGGGTAGGTGCTTTGCACAGCACCTATACGCTGATAATCATCTTAAATTTGCTATGTTCTTTGTTTCTCATCTTATTCTCTCAATGTCAAAACACCTAATGCTGACCTTCCATAATACAAATCATTAGGGACAGAATTGAAATGAGAGGAATAAGTATTAGCAGGATCTATTTTCAGAGGGGTAACCGTATTAGTCATTTCAGAAAAAACAACAGAGTGTCCCATGGTACCTTAAAGACTAACAAATGTATTAAGGCATATGCTTTTGTGGACTGGAACCCACTTCAGATACAGGATCTATGTTAATTCTTTAGCTTCAGAGACTTAGGCCAGGTCTACACGAGACCTGACAGCTCAGTTTAAGATACGAAACTCCAGCTATGAAGAATACATACATAGTTGGTGGCTTCCTGACAGCGGTAGGCCTTCCCTTACTCCTCGCAGAAGGAATATTGGACACCAGCAGGAGCATCTTCTGAGTTCTATTTGAGTCTTAACAGACTTGCTAAATCAAACTTCAGAAAATGGATCACAGAAGCAGTGATCTTCACGTAGTGAAGGTAAGCCCTTAAGATTCCTTTTGTCCCCATGTTTGGTATCACCACAAATATCCTCCTCTAACCTAAAGGGGAAGAATAAGTCTTCCTTCAGATCTTCTGTGAAAAACATATGAATCTGCTCTTTGTCCCCATCCCCATCTATTCCCTCCCACAATCTCAGGGCTGAAAAGGGAAAACAGGACAAGAAAATTTGGGTAGTAACAGAACTAGGTCTTTATAATCTTGGGAGAAGACTGTAGGTATGACCACATCAAGAAGAACCACTCAAAGGAGAGATCTTGGAGTCATTACGGATAGTTCTCTGAAAACATCCACTCCATTTGCAGCAGCAGTCAAAAAGCAAATAGAATGGTAGGAATCATTAAAAAAGGGGATAGAGAATAAGAAAGAGAATATATTATTGCCTCTATATAAATCCATGATACACCCACATCTTGAATATTGCATACAGATGTGGTTGCCTCATCTCAAAAAATATATATTGGCATTGGGAAAGGTTCAGAAAAGGGCAACAAAAATGATTAGGGATTTGGAATGGGTCCCATATGAAGAGAGATTAAAAAGATTGGGACTTTCCAGGCTAGAAAGAGGAGACTAATGGGGTGGGCGGAGGGGAGGGAGAGGGAGAGAAAGAGAATATAATAGAGGTCTATAAAATCATGACAGGTAAGGAGAAAGTGAATAACGAAAAGATCTGTACTTGTTCTCGTAACATAAGAACTAGGGATAACCAAATTAAATTAATAGGTCACAGGCTTAAAACAAACAAAAGCAAGTTTTTCTTCAAGCAGTGCACCGTTAAACTGTGGAACTCCTTGCCAGAGGATGTTGTGAAAACCAGGACTAACAGGGTTCATGAATTTATCTTGTTCTTTTTTGGAGGTTAGGTCTATCAATACTTTTTAGCCAGAATGGGTAGGAATGGTGTCCCTAGCCTCTGTGTGGCAGGAGCTAGAAATGGATGACAGCAGAGGGATCACTTGATGATTACCGGTTTCCGTTCACTCCCTCTCTAGGGCATCTGGCATTGGAAGACAAGATACTGGACTAGATGGACCTTTGGTCTGATCCAGTATGGCTGTTGTTATGTTCTGACTAACTATCTGGGCACAGACCAAGACCTGGGTGAGATTACATCTCCAAAGCACCTAGCTAGAATGTTTCTCAGTACCAACTATAAAGATCTGAACATATCATGTAGGACATTAGTGTCATGATTAATAAAAGGCAATCTGGAATCTTGTCTGCTTCTGGGAGACACTTTGGAATCAGTGCTGTGTAAGAACCCGAGGGCCTCATCAGGAACTTAAACATCAATCTAAATGGAGAGTTAAGAGCCTTACAACTTTTTTCTTTCACCATTACTGCACCAGAAATGGGGGGGGGAGGAGGGGAGAATCAAATGTGGAATTTAGAAAGCATTCAATGTTCATTTATGCCTTAATGTATATTAAGAAATGAAGAAGTATATCAAGAGTTGCATTAACAGTTTATTTTATACATACATTTTAATTTTAATGCTTTCCCATCAAATCTCACTAGTATCACATTTCTGCAATCAGTACAACAGAAACAAAAATAAAGGAGTATTTACAAGCATATTGTACAGTACTGAAAATGAATTAAGTTTCTAAAGTGCAAAGTTGGCTAGACAATACTGTACATAAACACAAGTCTCTGCTTTGACTATGCACAGACACTGTACATAAACACAAGTCTCTGCTTTCTTTGACTATGCACAGATATTGCCATGACACATCAGCCAATTAATTGTACTAAATATCTAAGTGGACTAAATCCTACAGTTGGATGCACATACAAGACTCCAATAGAAGTCCATGAGAGATGGGCATGCACATTCAAGAACCAGTTTTAGTCCTTTGGATGTACAGTGTTAGATGCTAAATGATTATATTTCATGTTAACTTAGTAACATGGACTATGGAGTGAGACACGTATCACAAGTGTTCAAAATATTTTCCTATAAAGGACATGTTTTGCTTTAATTATTAAGTTATGAGCCCCTAGACAAAGTACCAAGAGCCTGATGATCAGCTTGTACTCTAGTGCTTGCCTTCTTTATAGGTGTAAATGTTGCCTCCACTGTGAAGTGCACAAGTGAGACCTCAGACATTTACATTAACTTTTTCAGGTGTAACTAAGTGTAAAACTGTGCCATCACTAAAGCCTTATAAGAAAGCAGAGGCTACTAATGCTGATATTAATAAATATTAAGAAGTCATCTTATGAAATACATTATCTTTTAAAAAAGTACTAAAAAAACCTCAGCAGAAGGAAATGTATTATATATAGATATATGCAGACAGATTGAAGTTCCAACCCACTCCCAAGCAGGCTAACTGTTTAAGCAAATGGAATAGGTAACTCAAAGAATAGTGTCTATTTAAATACCTTAACAAAATCTCTCCTCTTCATAAGAAATCAAAAAGAAATCACATTACAGTTTAGCATCCTCTACTTATTTTCAGACTAAAATGTCTCTATTCCTTTCCCAGGTGGATTCTTGAATATCTTCTATGGAACCAACTTCAAAGACAGGCTTTCAAGCTACAGAGAGCTTGAAAGGTACTAAAAATGTCACAGTATTTAGCTGTGACACACTTACTGTCCTAGACCTGAATAAGAACTCTGCAAGCTTAAAAGCTTGTGTCTCACCAATGGAAGTTGGTCCAATAAAAGATATGTCACCCACTCTGTCCCACTAATATCCCAGAGCCAACATGGCTATAACAACAATGCATATATTCCATGCCCACAAGCAAGACTACTTATTATGTACCATAGGCTTTAAAATACAAGGAAATAAGGTCAGTCTTGAGAAACAAAGTTTAACAGCACTCATTCCTTTAGGTCAGTATTAAAAAGTTAACTCTCTTGTGGTTGCTGAAAACAGCTACAGCCTAGGACCAACACAAGGTTACAGACAGGACTGTATAACACTTAAGTTGCACATAGTCAACCAACATTTACAGTGAATTTCAAACAAGCCATTTAGTTATAGAAAATAAGGAATACCAGGGTCCAAATGCCAGTAAATATGCAAATTCTTAAAATCAATTTTTGAATGCCTTTGGGGAAATCAGTGATAACCCAAAAACTACAGATTTGTATCTCATGAAGAAACTTGCACAGACACATGGTCAAATGCCTCACTGCAGGTGCAAGAAAATGAAAACAAGTGAATTTGTGCAAGTCAGCAACAGCCATTAAGAACTGAAAACTGTTTTACTAAAATCTTAACTTTAAATTAGAAGAAGAAGAATTGTCAAGTCAGTAGAAAAATGCCTCAATACAAGTATATTAAGAACAAAAGAGTAACAAAGTACATACTGAAAACATAAGATGGGAGCATGGAGCTAATCACAGCTAATCCTTTAGTAAAATGAAAGCCATGTAGCTATAGGATATAATATGCTTTAGAATTTTGTGGCAATGATACAAATTTGTCTCACTTTCTACACCCATCCTTCATCTTCAACTCCATCGCCTCTACCAATGTTAGAGATTCTAAACTGGCCCCCATAATTATTCAGGAGACTAGAAGTTTATCACTAAAATCAACACTTGGTGAAACCTTGGCCAAACATACTCAGCTCCCTTCCTTCAAAACTTGAGATGCAACAAAACTTCTGCCTTTCAACACCTAACCTCCTCAAATATTTAAACAACAGAAATGATCTTGTCCTTCATAACCTGGGGGAGAAATAGTTTGAGTAGTTTATAGGGACATGTGTATGGAACTGATTAGGAGAAAGGTATAATTGAGGAAATGAGTTTTGCATTTGATCTGTCCATATTGGTTAGTACCACAATCATTCCTGTGTCTTGGAACAATGAGTTGCCTATTCGGTCCAGTTTCTGTGAAAGTTCTGTTTCCCAATCTCATAAATTGTCTCTAATTGGCCAACTGCTTCTTTGTTCCAGCTGTTGGGGACCACGGAAGGTCACACACTGCCAGGCAGGTGGGTCCAGTCCCACAGAAGATTTTTAATATCAAGACACAGCTATTGAACCGAACTCTGTACTGAACAGAATCAGAACACTGGCGCATACCTTCCTTGTACCCTGTGATACTAATCACATAGGTTGCTGTGTTTGTTATCAGCTGAAGCTTTTTCAAGGTGTGTATCTTCATTCCTAGGTGCAATGATTTGCAGAGATCAAGCTGGAAGACACACATACAAACATGGATCACTGTGATTAGCTGTGTGTGCCAGACAATTTTCTGATCAGTTACAAATGAAAACAGACGTTTTAGTTATTACAGTTATTTTGGACTCATTACTGCTGAATGCTCATAAGACACCAAGGTTGCAAACGAATTTGTCTGAGAGCTTAAGTCCTCAATTATGGAAAAAGTTATAGAAATAGCAAGTTCTTCTGAGCACCTCCCTCCTCAAACCAGCCTTAATCTTGCCTGCGGTCATTTTTTCCACAGCTGCACTTTATCAAGGAATCTGGGTGAAGATGCTATTTATGTTTCTAGAAAAGGAAACCTAGAGCCGGGTGTCATTTGTGATGAATTGCCAGCATCACATATTGTCTTAGCACTGTGAAGCCATTGACAGAGCAGGTATTATCCAACTGAAAACACAGCACATTAATAACACCCCAATACAGTCATTTAAGTTCTAAAAAGTCACCCAATTTAAATTGCCCATAATTCAATCATTCCAGACCTTAAACTCTGAAAGTCTGGAAGCCTGACACCATGATTTATTCATTTTAAGATCTTTTCCACTTAATTTGCTGCCTCAGTCTCTCATGCCACCAGCAGACTCCCCATTTGAGATTAAAAGGCTTAAATGTAAGCAGTTGGATAAAATAAACAAGCTACAGAGAAAGCAGGTTACTATGAATTTGGGCATGGGGAAAATTTAAATAGAAGGGAGTGTCCAGTTGTTTCAACTGAATATAAATTGCATTCAGATTATGGAGAAATTCTGCGTCTGAAGAAGCATAGTGAAGTGTCTTCCCTATAAAAGTTTCCATATGGATAAAGCCCAACTGTGAGTGACTCTTCTTATTAATCAGGAACAACAGATTAGAAATGAGACAAACAACAAAAAACTGCTTCTGGCAAATTTCTATACGCAACTTTTTCCATTTTGGGTACTTGATAAGAAGAATTAAATCTCATGGAAAGAAACAACATCCTTCACTTTTTACCACCTTTTCCTTTCCTTTTGCCTATGGCAGGAAATACTAATTTTAGTATGCTATTCTCTGTACAGAAGCTAACCTGAGAACCAAACTTAAAACTCTTTCTATAGCATGAGGACATTTGAGTTTATTCTGAGGTCCCAACTAAAAACAACAAAAAGAATGGTTATAAATAATTTCATTTATAAATCTAGCCATGTCTTCAATGAAGAGACTTCAACTAAACATAAATCAATGAATTAATCTTTAAGGTTAAGAAGAATTAGAAAAGGAGATTTGAAATGAAAGCCCCAGAGTTTGTTAAATACAACTTGTAAAAGGAATTCAAAGCACTTATAATGTTTAAGAGATCTGGCATCCACTGTCTTTTTGAGGCTTTATATCTGGTTCTTTGAGCGGTTTCACTTCTTCCTCTGGTTTTGGCTTAGCCTGCAGATAAGAAAAGAGTTTGAAAAAGATGAATTAAAAGAATCATGGCTTTCACGCAATGTTCATATATAGGGTTACAGCAGCGAGGCCATGCAGAATTTAGATATACTTCAACTAGTCTTCTCTGTTCTCCCAGCTCAGGGCTTTCTGGTTTCTAACAAAAAAATTTAAATTTGTTGCATTTCAGGATGGCTTGAAATGGACAAGAGAGAATGGACTAAACTAAGTTCATCCAATTTACTGCACCTACTTTAGAAGTACAGCTGCAGTGTGTTTCAAGGCCATTGCCTTCTTCACCACATCACCCTTAAAGTCTATCTTAAGTAATGCAGGCTGGCTGCGTAACCACCTCACTCCTATATAGCACTTCTCATTCATAGACTTCAAAGTAGGAATAAGAGATTTCCGGAAAAGGGCTTTTTTCCCGGAGGATCGGGGCCAGTGTAGACGCTCTTTTCCGGCTTTTCTAAAAGCCGGAAAAAAGCGGCGGACATTTTTATTTAAATGCCGCGGGGGATATTTAAATCCCCTGCGGATTTCCCTATTACGACCTGTCAAATTAGCATGCCCCTTTCGGAAAAGGGGCCAATGTAGACGAGCCCCGAGTGTTTTACCAAAAAGGTAAATCTCACTATATGAGCCAAGGACAACCAGGAAACAATGTAGCTTCTAGACTCTGGACTAACAGAAGTTGCTCAATCTGTAGAGAAGGTGATTGGATCTTAGATTATGACCTATAACTGACTGACTGCCTTTGCTGAAGTGGAAAATTCCACTATGTACCTCACAGGGATGAGGCAAGGCTTAAAAGAGGACTTGAATGAAGAGTGCTCTAAAAGGCAAAATAGAAGGCATGTTAGATAGTTGATACCATCATGTCCAATACCTCAAACTAAAAACAGATGCATTAACATTATGTGCCCACATAGATAATTTTTATTTATTTACATTTAAGCTGCCCCATGGCTCTGGCATTAGCTCCTGTACCTCAGTACCTCCCCAGCTCCATTTAATTTAACCTCTACACCCTGAGGCATGAAAGCATTATTTCAGATGGGGACTCTGGCACAGAGAGGTTCAGTGATTTGCACCTAGTCAGGTTGTAGAAGCAGGAATAGATCCCAAGTTTCCTGATCGCCCTGCATTCCTCTCCCACAATGTCTGAATTTGTCCTACTGGGTAGGATAGAGCAGAGGACACTGGTGGAATAGCTGAGTATCAACTCTCAACTATGCAGTAGATAAAAGGGATGGGAGAAAGAGGAGGAACAATATTAAGTAAAATAGTCTTACGCTGTCGTCCTTTGGCCTCTTGGTGAGATCAAATGCAGCAAGCGTTTCGGGGGTCCAGTGTGCATGCAAGGCAGGAAATTCAAAAGGGATGGGCTCTACTAGGCCATAGTTCGCCTTCAGCTCTAGCTGAGGAGCCTCGGGTGGCACTTTCTGAAAGTAACTAAGACAAAATTTATTTTTTTAAAAACAGAGTAAACAAAAGACTTCCAGACAGAATATATACATTTCAGTTCATTTTTCTTCACTTTGGGAATAATCTGGCCACTCACAAAGGCACCATACTACGGATGTTAAATATCAGTTAATTGAAGTTGATTAGCCTAATGAATTATTGGTTACTCAATTATTCTATAGGCCCTGGAGACGGGGCCGGCGGCCCGCGCGCTCTGGCCCCACTCCCAAGGAGCCTCTTGCCACTCTGCACTGCTGCTTCTGTAACAGAGGCAGCAGTGCAAGGTGTCAGGCAGGAGCTGATCTATGAGGGGAGCCAGTTTAAAAAACCAGCTCCTCTCATGGACCAGCTGCCTGTCACAGAGACAGCTCAGCCTGTCCAGAGGTGGGGCTGAGCTCCTGGACCCAGCAGGAGCTGGAACTGAGCTGGGCTGCCTGCCTACCTGGCTCCTAACACACTTTAAACGCAGAACTGGGTAGGTCCTGGCAAGAGGGGTAGGTCCTGGCAAGAGGGGTAGGGGAAATGCATGTAGTCTCTAGCTTTTGCTTATCCGTTAATTGGTTTATTGACTACATTGTTACATCCCTACACCATACTATTATTGCTGAAATAGTCCCATTTTATTTAAAAATCTTAATGTTGGTATTATGAAGAGGTATTCACTTCAGTATGGTTTCCCTGCTGCTTCACAGAGACAATTTTCCATTTATTCTCTCTCCTCCCAACTGGCTTCCTTAGACTTTTCCATCAGACTGGTTTTCTCCCTTTTGTTTTGGTAGAAGTGGAGATAAATGTTGTTTCAATTTAAATACGCTTAAAATAAAAATCCAGATTAGGGTCAGAATACCATAGGAGAAAGGAAAAGACACAGAAGCAAAAATTTCCCTCTATCTCTTTGAAGTCAGATACTTGGCGTGCCAGCATGCACTAATGCTGGTAACACTGCAATGGCCAGAGAGCCTTGCTAGATCAAAAAACATAAAAGGAAGTACAGGTTGAACCTCTCTTTACCAGGACTCTTTGGTCCAGCAAGACCACGGATGTCCCAGGACCAGAGAGTCCCAGTAGAGCGCTGGTGGTTGGGCGCCCTGCAGCAGGGCTGGAGCCCAGCTGTAGGGCTGCCACCCAGCGGTAGGGCAAGCACAACCAGGAGCCTGGCAGCCCCGCTACTGCCAAGTGGCACAACTGCATGGTGGGACTAGAAGGCAGCGCAGCTGCCCCACAGGCCTGAGAGCCTGACTACAAGGCTGCCTGGTGGTGGAGCCAGGAACCTTGGAGTGGGACTGTTGCCTGGCAGCACAGCAAAGAGCCTGGCAGCCCTGCTGCTGCCTGTTGAGCTGCCAACTGAAGCTGAAGCCCCAGCAGGACTGTCTCCCAGCAGCACAGCTGGACCCCAGAAGGGGGGCTATCCCACGAGGTCAGGAGCCCAGCAGTGGGGCTGCACGTGCTGGCGGCGGGGCTGCCACGATGGGGACAAGAGTCCTGTGTGCGGAGGGGCTGGCGACAGGGGAAGCCAGTGAGGACATGACTGGGGGGGAGCAGTGACAAGGGTCCCCAGAAATGACCTTTCCCAATCTGGCAAAATCCCTCATCCTGGACAGGTCCGGTCCCAAGGGTGCCGATCCAAGGAGGTCCAACTTGTATTGTATATTTATCTCTTTTGCAACACCACACCACACAATAGAAACTGACATTTACCTTGTGGTCAACACACATTATGCTTATGCTCTAACAGAGTTCTGTGACTATTGCTATGTCATCAGTATGGCATGAACAACATCTCAGTGGACAGGCCTTGGGCATCTGTCAGGTTTTGTGTTTTGTTGTTTTTTTTAAAAGGGACATACCATCAGACTTCTATGAATCTCTTTATATACTGCTGTCACAAGTCAAATAGAATCCATATAACTGAAGATTAGCAAAACACTTTTCTCTATTTTTAGTGTTGTGTGTGTATTTGACAGCACTTGTGTTCAGAAAGTTTCCTTATTTGAATAGGTTTTACACAGCACCAGGGGAAACATTTCCTATTTAAAAAAAAAAAGAATTCTAAAGCCTGACAACTGGCAAGAGGATTCAGAAGAATTCAGGTGTAGTTCCTGTAAGTATTCTGAGCTTACTAGATTTAAAGTTGATGCCTCTTCAAGAGTAAGTTTATAAATCAGTTAACTGAATGCCCCATTTCCCATAGTTACTTGGGCACAGGGCAATTAACAAGGTCACACAGCTCAGGCTACACCACTGATTAACTGACTTTAACAACAGCTAAGTTTAGAAAGCCACAAGCAAAGACAAAATTCAACAATTCCTTATATAACATACAAATACAGAAAGTAGACACTCTTCCAGTTCCTTTAACACACTGAAACAAGTTTTTTATTTAGGGCAAAACTGTTCTTTGTAAAATTAATCTAATCTTAGAAATAATAATAATAAATCAGGGATTTTAAAAATAAATGTGTAAAATAGTGTAACAAGCAGGGAATATATACTCACATGAATCCATTTTCTCTCAGGCATTTTTCTAGGGTATTCTTAACCAGACTTCCTAGTTTCCTAAAGAAGAGGTGGCCAGAGGGTTTGGCAGTAGTCCCAGGCCCTTTGGTTTCACCATATTCTTTGCATAATGCTTCAGCCTTGACAAAAACTTAAGAAAACAATGTTAAAAAAAGTTACAATTGGCCATAAAATTGTACTTATCTCTTGCTTTAATTGCAACACACCCAGTAATCTTTTCAAGATTCTGAATAGATAAAGCAGAAGAAGTTGGTTTTAGGGTAACGTCTCCAACCATGGCCAAAACATTCATGTTAGTCATGGAAAGTCAACTTTTTGAATGCGGATGGTAGAGAAGAATTCTTACTTGAAGAGATAAGTAAAAGTGGAACTGTAAAACAAGAACTGGAACTATGCAACCATGGAACAGAACGCAGTCTTGAAAGAATTCAGGGACAGACAGAGAGGAACAGTATTGTGTTTGGCCTATTAATAAGCCAAGAACATTAAGTAAGCCTGAGATATATAGTTGTGCCTGAGAGACCAAAGCCATGTCTAGACTGCATTCCTCTCTCAAAAGAGGAATGCAAATGAAGCAGATTGAAAATTCAAATGAAGAGCAGATTTGCAAATCTCGTGCTTCATTTGCATAATCACGAGAGCACTTTTTCAAAAAAGCGTTTTTTTTTAAAAAAATTTGCATAATCACGTGAGAGCACTTTTTCAAAAAAGCGTTTGTTTTTTTACAAAAAACCCCACAGTCTAGATGGGATTCTTTCAAAAAAACAAAACAAAACAAAAACAAAAAAAACACCCTTTAGAAAGAACCTGTACTCATTTTTTCAGGAGTACGGGTTCTTTCGAAAAAAGGTTCTTTTTCCCTCCAAAAGAACCCCATCTAGATTGCGGGTTTTTTCTCTTAAAAATCCTTTTTTGAAAAAGCGCTCTCATGCGATTATGCAAATGAAGCACGAGATTTGCAAATCCGCACTTCCTTTTAATTTTCCATCTGCTTCATTTGCATTCTTCTTTCGAGAGAGGAATGCAGTCTAGACGAGCCCCCAGGGAAAAATCTAAGGGCATGCCTATGCTTACTGGGAGATCAAAGCTCCAGAGATCGATCTTTTAGCTTTTTAGTATAGACCTGTAAAGTTACCACTGAGGGCAACTCCTGCCAACATCCAGTACTCCTTTTGCAAGGAGTAAGGGAAGCAGCCTCCCACCGGCTTAAGATAAACTAAGGAGTAAGGGAAGCAGCCTCCCACCGTGTGGACGCCGCCATAGCTCGGCTTAAGATAAACAGACTCTAGCTATGCATTTTGCGTAACTAGAATTGCGTTCCTTAAGCTGACCTTCCAGGTTCAGTGTAGACCTGGCCTAAGAATGGATGTATTTCTATGACGCTTTATTCTGCTTAGTCTATCAGAGAAGCAGAAAGTGTTCTCTAGAAATGCAAGAGTTATTTTAGTAAAGAGCTAATCCAAGGCAAACCTACCTAGTTTAACTCTTGCCAAGTATAGACTTTTCAACTGATTTCCTTCTATTTGTTCAATCCTTCCTTTTTATTGTTTTTGTTGCTTTCCACTACAGTTTCTCCAACGTGTCCCCATCCTTCCTTAAGTGTGGCACCCAGAACTGGACATAGTGCTCCAGCTGAGGCCTTATGCTGAGTACAGAGGCACAATTGCCTCCTGTGACTTGCAAAAAAACCCTCCTGCTAATTCACCTCAGAATATTAGCCGTTTTCACATTTGAACCACATTGCGGACTTGTATTAAATTTGCGATCCACTAGAATTCCCCCAATCCTTTTCAGCAGTACCCTCACCTAGCCAGTTATGTCCCACTGTGTAATTGTGCATTGAATGTTTCCTTCCTAAGTGAAGTACTTTGCAAACAGTCTTTGTTAAATTTTATCTTGATTTCAGACCAATTCTTTACTTTGTCAAGGCTATTTCGAATTCTAATCCTGTCCTCCAAAATTCTATTAATTCCTTCCGGTTTGATGTCATCTGCAAATTTTATATTAAATAGCACTAGACCCAGACCTCACCCCTGCAGAACTGCTCTAGATACACTCTCCCAGCCTAGCAGCAAACCATAGATAACTACCTTTTGAGCATGGTTTTTCAGTCAGCTGTGCACCTACTCACAGTAGTGTTGGCTAGGGCACATTTCCCTAGTTTGCTTATGAGAATGTCATGTGGGACTGTGTCAAAAGCCTTACTAAAGATCAAGATAGATCACATCTACTATTTCCCCCATCAGCTAGGCCACTAACCTTGTCAAAGAAGAAAATTAGACTTGGGTTTGTTCTTGACAAATCTATGCTGGATACTTCTTATAACCCTATTATCCTGCAGGTGCTTACAAAGTGATTGTTTAATAATTTATCTCAGTATCTTTCCAGATATTATAGTCATGCTGACTGATCTATAATTCCCTGGATCCTCTCTGTTTCCTTGTCAAGATATTTTGTTTTCCCTTATCCTGTCTTCTGAGATCTCAACTGTTCTCCATTTTGAAATTGCTTCAGCTAGTTCCTTAAGAACAATACAGTCTTATCAGGCCCTGCCAACTTGAATTTATCCTGTCTTCTGAGATCTCAACTGTTCTCCATTTTGAAATTGCTTCAGCTAGTTCCTTAAGGAACCATACAGTCTTATCAGGCCCTGACAACTTGAAACTATCCCATGGGCCACTTGCAACCCTATCAGCACACATCTGCAGCCTGAGACATTCTCAGGATCACACAGTAAGCACTGGAAGTGGCCCACAATGGTAAAGTAGCTTGATTAGTGGTTCTCAACCTGTATAAGTTTTCTTTATTTTGTTCTTTCTCTATTTTGCTTTGTAATAGAGATGTAGCCATATTAGTCTGGTCTTGCTGAAACAAAAGACAGGACTATGCAGCACTTTAAAGACTAACAAGATGGTTTATTGGGTGATGAGCTTTCGTGGGCCAGACCCACTTTGTACCTTTGGTATATATGGTCATGCCAATTTTCTTCCACAATTTGATCTGAGGAAGTGGGTCTGGCCCACAAAAGCTCATCACCTAATAAATCATCTTGTTAGTCTTTAAAGTGCTGCATAGTCCTCTTTCATTTTGCTTTGCGTTCCTTCCTTTTTTCATAATATTAATTATATTCAATATCTATTCACCATTAACCTTTTTAGTGAAGACTAAATCAACACAGGCATTAAACATCAAAGCCTTCTTGATGTTATCAGTTATTAACTTCTCATCAAATAGAGGACCTGTACTTTCCTTCATCTTTCTCTTACTTGTAATATAATTGAAGAACCTCTTAATGCCTTATGTCCTTGGCTAGATGTTATTTATTGTGTGCTATAGGCTCTCTGATTTTTTTCCTACATGGCTTGTGCTATTTTTTTTTTTAACTCCTCCTCAGCATTTCATCCATGCTTCCACTTTTTGTAGGATTCCCTTATGATTTTCAGGTCATTAAAAGAACTCTCAATGATGCTATCTTTAAAACACACTTTTTAAAAGCCTGCCAAGAGCTTGAATTTATGTGGTGTTTCTAGGCTAACAGGATAAAATACATTATAATAAAACGAAATACTGCATTACCAGATGTAACAAGGCCATCCCTTGTCTGGTGTTGGATCCTGCCTCTGTTCTCTTTTTTGGACTTTCCAACAACTGCTTTTTTGGACTTTCCAGACTGTCATGCAAGTCACACAACATCCCTTCTTGGGTCAGGTTTATTAAATCATCAGAGTATAAATGTCAACTTAAAATGAGTAAAACCTTTAATGGGATCATAGTTTGTTCCAAACCTAGGTCCCACTGCCTGGCATTTCCTCAGCCTTCTCTTAAAGCTTCTGCCCTCCAGTGCAGGTTGCTCCAGTCAGGCCTTTTTACATGGTGAGCAGACAGTTCTTTCCACAGTTCTCGGTGATCCTGACCCCTACAGATCACTGGATCTCCTCATGGAGCCTCCCTGTAGATCTCTCTCCTTCCACAAACTGAAGGAACATGCTCCCTCTCACAGGAACTTCAGCCTTTAACTACATCTTAGTAAGACCATTAGTACCACCAGGCACCACTCAAACTGGCCAGGCCA